ATATTTTTAAAATATATTAATCCAATATTGTAAAAATTTATGATTTTTATTACAAATTTATGATTTTTATTAAAATTTGAACACAAGTTATTGTAAAAAATCACAAACTCTCCATTCAAATGATTGAATAACAAAAATAAAAAGTTTTTTTATACTTGCAATCTAAAAAATAATCGGGATATATAAGATTAGGCGGAAAGTAATCGGATTAGGCGGAGAATAATCGGATTACTGATTTTTTAGGGGATTAGTCATTAATCGAGACGGATAGGGTGGGCCTAGCGATTAAGCGGAGAGTAATCGGGGCTAGGCGGGGATTTTTAGAACGGGGGTAGAGGTACGCAAAAGTCATTAGCTAAAACGATGTCGTTTTTGTGTCTACGGTAAAAAAGTCATAACGTAAACGACGTCGTTTTGGCTAAAGTAAAAAGCTTTTTTTATACTGCGGGCTCTAAGACCATTTTAAATTTTTAAGTTTTAACATAGTTTTGTTGATTCATTTGATTTTGTTGAGGGTAAAAACTGCCTTACACAAACAATTTACAAAATTTGAGGTGTAAAATTTTACTGTTCGGGCTTTATCACCTACAAATTTTTTTAAAAAAAAGATTCTCTTTTTTTTTGAACAATTCTTGGGTTCACCCCTAGGGGTGAACCCAATTCATTCATCCCCATTTTAATCACCAATCAAATTTTGACATGTCATCTAACTAAAACAATTAATATTGTTCTTAATATTATCTAAACAAAATAATTTAACTAAATCATTAAAAACTCAAAATTAAATTAATTATAGGCCCCACTACTCTCTCTCCCACGTCTCTCTCTTTTGTTTTTTTTTTTTTTTCAAATATTATTTTTCTTCAACTTTAATAAAAAATGTAAAAAAAAAAATTTAACCAAAATAATTAATAGTAAAGCTTTAACATTTCCATATGTTTTTTGTCTTTGTATTCAAAATGATCGAGGTTTACAATAAATCTCCGTAACTTTTGTCAAATTCCTACAAAATATAAGATTTCAAATAATGAAAAATTTGACCGAAAAGTCAAATATAAATAGTAAGAGTAAATTATTTACCTGAAACACTTGTGAAGAAAAAGACCCCGTCTGTAAAGTCGGATTGCTTGTAGCTACAGATAAGTGGATATCGGAAGCAAAAGTTGAATCCTGAAGCATTTATCGATTTTATCTTGTAATTAATATACATACATCTATTGACGAAGTCACCGAAAAGTCAAATATAAATAGTAAGAATGAATAGTTTACTTGTAGCACTTGTGAGGAAAATGGCTCTGTCTGTAATGTCGGATTGCTGGTAGCAAAAGTTGAATCCTGAAGCATTTATCAATTTTATCTTGTAATTAATATATATATACATCTATTGACGAAGTCACCTTTTGCTGGAAATTGGACATAAACGAAAAAGAAAAATTATTTATCAAATACCTGAAACAATAATTTTCTCTTTGATGTACCCCGTTTTTTCGTTTCAAGAGCATTCAAATATCGACCGTGGGGTCCGACCTTTTTGTTCTTTGGTCGTCCAACAGTAGCTTTTCTTTTAATTCCACGTGCATTTAGAACTTCCTCGTCTTCTTCTTCTCTTTCCACATGTTCAACATTTGAAGTTGGGAGCATCCATGCATTAGCCTTCACAAGTTCTTTTTTCTTTTTCTCCAATATTTTAATCAATTCACATGCAGCTTCATTCGCACACATCGTCAATTCTACATGTTCAGCAGCAACAGATGCAATCTCACGGAAATTGTGACATAAATGGCTATAACGCTTTCCAATCGATTGCGTTACTGTTCCATTAAATGTCTCTGAACGATAAGAAGATATGTTTCGTGATTTTGCCTCTTTACTCCATCGATTCAAGATGTAGCTAGATGGAATTCTCCTAACATCCTTCTTATCCAATACTTTCAATGCATGACGACATAAGATCCCAGCAAAAGAATACTTCATGCAACTACACTGTATCGTTTGGTTTGTAGCATCATAATTAACCAAATGCTCTCGCGGTCCACCACGATAAGATACTTTGTATTCATACACCATCTCAGACTTGCTGACTTTTTTAGCAACATAATCACCGATAACTGTATATTGCTTCTGAAACAACTTAAAAACTTCGGGTGTATACACCTCTTCTGCATGTTGCAACATCTCTACGGTAGCAGATAATACCGAAGAGGTATGCATCATTTTGAAGTCAGCATTTAACTCGTTATATCGCCGATCATCCAACACTCTCTCATAGTGTTCAAAGAAGGACAACAAGTCATAATTACTCTTCAAGTATCTTTTCAAAATATTATTCATACTTTCACTACGTTGTGTGCTCACCATATCTGCTGTAAAAGTATGACGTCCATATACCATTGCCCATTTTTCTCTCACCTCAAACATATTCTTTAACTAAGAAACTTTGATGTAAATATAAAAATTATTTTAACTTACGTTTAAATTGTGTAGAAACGTGAAACTCTTTCTTTTGATAAAACTAATCTCTTTTGATGATATGTGAGAAGAAGAATAGAAAAAACTTATGAATAAGGTTAGGGTTAATGAGTTCATATAACATTTAGAATTAGGGTTTTTTATTGACATATTGATTTTTTTTCCTAATGGATTTAGGAGTGTTACGTGAATGAGAGAGTTAGTGGCCCCACAATTAATTCAATTTTAATTTTTAATGATTAAATATGATGAAACTAAATTTTTTTTTTTTACATTTTTTATTAAAGTTGAAGAAAAACAATATTTGAAAAAAAGAAAAAAAAAACAAAAGAGAGAGACGTGGGAGAGAGAGTAGTGGGTCCTACAATTAATTTGATTTTGAGTTTTTAATGATTTAGTTAAATTATTTTGTTTAGATAATATTAAGTACAATATTAATTGTTTTAGTTAGATGACATGTCAAAATTTGATTGGTGATTAAAATGGGGGTGAATGAATTGGGTTCACCCCTAGGGGTGAACCCAATAATTGTTCTTTTTGAACTGCTGCACCGTATTTTAAATTATTTTGAATTTTTTAGTTATCTGATTGGTTAGTTTTGTAGCTATAATTTAATTGATAGAGGTGTTTAGAATTTGTTATAGGAAAATTAAAAAATATGGTAGTGACTAGTGAGTGATCTGATTTTTTGGTGAAGTCTACTACCAAAAAAATATGATGTAAAATCTTATTAAATATTTTCTAAAGAATTTGACACTTTTCAAAATTTTAATTAACGGGATTGCCATATTCGTCGGTCAATCAATTATATTTTCGACATGTAAATTTTTTTTAACAAAAATAAAAATTAAAACCTATTAGTTTAACATTATTCATGTTAGTTTAATTTCCTAACTAGAGCATTAAATTAGAAACTCGCCGGTTAATACATGATTTTATTGATTAGTTCATAGAATATTTTTCTTAAATGAATATCAATAAGAAAACAGAGGTTAAGAAAATAGTATTGATATATATATATATATATATATAAATATATAAATATTGAAAAACAAATGGAGAGAATTATGCCTTGAACATTTTACCTCAATAAAAGCCCTTTAACTGGTCCAAGTTAAGGAAATCCATATAAGGAAATGTTACTCCCTCTGTCCCATTTTATCAGATGTTTTGACTAAAATTACAAAAATTAATATTTTTTTCATTTATAAAATTTCAACCAATAGAAGAAGATACTGCATAATTTAAATAACTAAAAACAATTAAAATAATATAAATCATGCATAGAAACTAGAGACAATTTTATGAAATGGAACAAATGAAAAAGCTTAAAACATCCTAAATATTGAGACAAATGGAGTTAGCCAAATTGATCTCAACTAAATGGAAGACGAGAAGTAAACATAAACTCAGTGAAGTTTTTTTGGGGACTTACAATCACTGGCGGAGCCAAAATAATTATTCATAGAGATCATAACTACTCCCTCCGTTTCACAAAGAGTGTCATTTTGACACATTTCACACAAATTAAGAAAACCTTAGATTATACATATATACCCATATTTAATAAGTGATTAATGATTTAAATTCAATAAAAAGTAGCTTTGGGTTAAGGGCAAATCAGGAAATTTAGCGTAAAAGTTACCTTGAAAATGTAGAATGACACTTTTTGTAAAACAGAGGAAGTATTAATTAGCGCCCATTTGGTTGAAGTATAGCCAAATTGATCTCAACTAAATGGAAGACGAGAAGTTAACATAAACTCAGTGAAGTTTTTTTGGGGACTTACAATCACTGGCGGAGCCAAAATAATTATTCATAGAGATCATAACTATTAATTAGCGCCCATTTGGTTGAAGAGAGAATGTGATTTTTGAACATTGCCTATGTGTTTCGGCAATCGCCGTCGGATTAACACAAATTGCACTTCGTTGTCATAAATTTCAAAAACTCTAAAGTATATAGGAAAACAAAAGGAAAAAATGTCAAAAAAATTATGAACTTTCAAATTTGGGACGATTTAATCATGAACTACAAATAAGACATATAAATCGTAAAGTTTTTGTTGACTTTTAAAATTAATTAACAAAGTTTGGTTGGCTAGCCATTTTAGTCATAGCGTTAAGTAGGCTAACAGAAAACTAAATTCCCGTTTACCTTCTCTGTTATGTCAAAATGATATCGTTTACTGTAGCGACGAACCCTTTTCCTTGTCTTATTTTTCTTTTTAAATTGTTGATAAAACATGTGTCACTACATTCAAAATTTTATATTCAGAGTTTGTCGCTTTCTTGATTTTAGTTTCTGGCTTTATGCTTGATATAAAAGACCTACGTTTTACGTAGTCCTAAGTTACCAATCAAAAAGCACATTGGATATTCAACATATATATGGTAAATGAAGATCTTACACGCGTAGATGAATTAAGTTAGAAAATATAGTACATTATAAGATTTAACACATTACACATACATATGAGATTGTCGTGAGATTTAACACATACATATACCCGGTTTAAAAAAAAAAAAAAAAATATAACCATTTTATCATTCAGACGACGACGTAAAAGTGGGCTGATGTAGTTAATGTGACTTGTCGTGAGAAGTCAGGAACATGACAAGACTTCGGAAACTAGAGACATCACAGGGCAAGACAATCTTGTTCTGGTAAGCCTCCGCGTAACCGAATTCTTCCGCCGCATTGTCTAGAAGCTTTTGGAAAGAAGGGCTCTTCAAAAACTTTGTGGGGATCACGAATCTTTCCAACTTCTTATTCGTACCGACGTAAACCACGAAATGCCCTCTGGGTGTTCTTGAGGATGATGATCTGCTCTCTCCAGAATCTTCTTCTTCTTCTCTTTGGTGGAAGTGCATGTCAATGACCTTGTTCGGCATAGTTGTATATAAGCTTGTTATATAGTGACCTATATTTGTATTGGGTGTGAGTCACAGGACATTAACGGATTTTGTGGGGATCTTTGTGTTTCCACTTTGATTTGGAAGTTGGGTACTTATATATAGTTGTACATTCACTTTTAGTTATTATTTATTTGTCGGGCTTGGGAATGTGTGCCGTCTAGAATGCATTCACGTAGTTTTCAAATGTTTTACAATCAAAATTAACTAATTAAAAAAACGAAATAAACTAAAATTTTAAACTGCCGTAAAAAAAATCTTCATATCCATTTTACTAATTTAGTTTTCAAATTCCTCGTTTTGCCATTCAAAAATATAGGATAATTTCATGACTTTTAAAAGTGTTACCATTTATTAATGTGAATCATTCTCAAAGTAAAATCATAATGACACATATATCACAATCCCAATCCGGGCCTATTTTGTGTTAACTGATCATCGGATACTACAAAAACAATATACAACAAGTTACGAGTCGTTGGTCTATAGTTCCATAAACTTGGATTAGTCTTTGGTAATACTTGTGGCGGATCTACAAAATGTTTATATGTTTTAATCAGAATATTGGAATTCAATACGGTCAAATAACATTAAAACTTTTTTCTTTTTTTGTCATCCGAAATTAATTAGAGCTTAAAAGACAAAATTCCGTAAATTTCGGCAGTTTAAAATTTTAGTTTATTTCGTTTTTTTAATTAGTTAATTTTGATTGTAAAACATTTGAAAACTACGTGAATGCATTACACTAAAATTCCGTAAATTTCGTTTTAATACGGTCAAATAATGCAGTTTTGTACGAACTTTTCGTGCCAGATTATCTGTTTTTACATTAGCTTACTACGAGAAATTAAAGATAAAGGTTGAGAATTCGTCCTTGTCGTTCTGAAATTCCTCCAAATACACTGAAAACATCGGCCATTCGGTTGGAGAATAACATTAAAACGATCATCGTATAATTTGGTTGTAGTAATTGCGTTTGAGTTTCTTATAGTTATCTTTATTTTTTTAAAATTTTTTTTATAGTTTCTTTGATTAGTATTTTACATTTCGAGCGGAATCCGTTTTCCTTCCGTTTAAGATTTTATATAGATATACAAAAACATCAATCAGCTCATGCTATAAAAGGATAAGGTATATTATATAAAGCGTATGCATAGAAATACAAGTACACATGGACATGGGTAAGTTCTTTAATTTGTTAGATGGATAATGAACTTCAAAAGATAACATCTATGTATGACAATATGTAGTGAGTGTTTATATGATCGTACGTAGCTAGCTAGCTAGGTCCTAACGATGATTGTGGGGGAATAATGGACTTAGCCAGAGTCGATGACTTTAATTTTTCAAACCATTACGTATGCATGAGAGAGAGAGATAGAGAGAGAACAATGTGTGGTTAATATATAATGGGTCATGGATTGAGCTACGATTAAGTGACTGGAGAAAAGCACATGGTTTCTGCTACTGCTCATAGAGGATGATCTTTCTCTCCATACTTCTCCATTCACTTAATTTCTACTATCCGATAAGGTTTTTTACATTCCTCATATATTCCAAAATTTGTGACGGTTTGAGGCTAAAAATAATAGTCACTGGTCTAACTAAGTAATTTGTTATATATAATCCATGCAAAATTGCTTCGATTACAGTAATACTTTCATATTGTGATTTTATCATACCAAATTATCCGAATTATATTAGTGACTCATGGGCTAATATATATAAGAAATAAATGCAGATCAATAGTTTTTATATAAACTCATTGCGCCAAAATCTTTGTTTTCAAAACCTTTAAAAATATCGATTATAAGAAGACGCTCTAAAAAATTTAATTAAATAGAAAAAAAAAAACTAAAGTAAACTTTGTTGAGATATGGATATAATAGGCATGAAGAGGGTTATGGACGTTATAGATCTGAGAGATGAAGTGACCATACTGTTTTGGATTATAGAAATTTATTGATTCCTACGTCCTTCCTCTTCGTTTTTGTACGGACTCTGTTATACTAACCGTTCAAGTTTCGCTACGATATGATTTTCTTCTGGCTGATATAAGCTTTTTTCAATGTAATATTAAGAAAAACCATTTTACCACATTAAATAATTATATGTTTGCTAAATTTTATGATTATGGCATACAATTTATTTGACTACCCTGGTCCAAAGTAATTAAAGTTTAATGGCTAGACTAGACTAAATGGAGCAGTGATTTACGAAAAAATAGATCATATTCCATCCGTTTCCTAAAAATGTCGTTTTAAAAGCATCAAAAACTAATATATGTGTGCACTCGCCTTTTAATGGTTGAAGACGCCATACTGGATTCCTTGAAGACTCGAGAGTGTTTAGCTCTTCTTTCTATTTTTACCACATTTTGTATTTCTGTTTTATATCATTTCGAACTCTCGAGAGTGGACTCTTTGACAAATAGATTCTGGATTCTTCGTGTTATAAGTGGGAAAAAAGCTTTTTCATCGTAACATTAAGAAAAACCAGTTTACCACATTAAATATTTATATGTTTTCTAAATTTCATAAATATGGCATACAATTTATTTGACGACCCTGGTCCAAAGTAATTAAAGTTTAATGGCTAGACAGTAGACTAGACTAAATAAAAAAGTGATTCACGAAAAAAATCACATTCCATTCGTTTTACAAAGAATGTCGTTTAAAAGCATCAAAAGCTAATATATGTGCTCACTCGCCTTTTAATGGTTGAAGACGTCATACTAGGATTCCTTGAAGACTCGAGAGTATTTAGCTCTTCTTTCATCTTTACCACATTTTGTATTTCTGTTTTATATCATTTCGAACTCTCGAGAGTGGACTCTTTGGCAAATAGATTCTGGATTCTTCGTGTAATAAGTGGGAAAAAAGGTTTTTCATAGTAATATTAAGAAAAACCAGTTTACCACATTAAATATTTATATGTTTTCTATATTTCATGAATATGGCATACAATTTATTTGACGACCTTAATGGCTAGACTAGACTAAATGAAGCAGTGATTCATGAAAAAATAAATCATATTCTATCTGTTTCACAAAGAATGTTCTTTTAAAATCATCAAAAGTTAATATATGTACTCACTCGCCTTTTATGGTTGAAGACGTCATACTAGATTCCTTGAAGACTCGAGAGTGTTTAGCTCTTCTTTCTATCTTTACCACATTTTGTATTTCTGTTTTATATCATTTCAAAATCTCGAGAGTAGACTCTTTGGCAAATAGATTTTGGATTCTTCGTGTTGTAAGTGGGAAAAAGGCTTTTTCATAGTAATATTAAGAAAAACCAGTTTACCACAATAAATATTTGTATTTTTTCTAAATTTCATAATTATATGTTTTCTAAATTTCATGAATATAGCATACAAATTATTTGACGATCCTTGTCCAAAGTAATTAAAGTTTAATGGTTAGACTAGACTAAATGGAGCAACTATTCACGAAAATAAAAATCATATTCCATCTGTTTTACAAAGAATGTCGTTTAAAAGCATCAAAAGCTAATATGTGCTCACTCGCCTTTTAATGGTTGAAGAAGCCATACTAGGATTCCTTGAAGACTCGAGAGTGTTTAGCTCTTCTTTCTATCCTTACCACATTTTGTATTTCTGTTTTGTATCGTTTCGAACTCTCGAGAGTGGACTCTTTGGCAAAAAAATTCTATATTCTTCGTGTTGTAAGTAGGAAAAAGGCTTTTTCATAGTAATATTAAGAAAAAACAGTTTACCACATTAAATATTTTTATGTTTTCTAAATTTTCATGAATATGGCATACAATTTATTTGACGACCCTGGTCCAAAGTAATTAAAGTTTAATGGCTAGACTAGACTAAATGGACTAGTGATTCACGAAAAAAAAAGAATCATATTCCATCCGTTTCACAAAGAATGTCGTTTTAAAACATCAAAAACTAATATATGTGCTCACTCGCCTTTTAATGGTTGAAGACACCATACTGGGATTTCGTAAAGACTCGAGAGTCTTTAGCTCTTCTTTCTATCTTTACCATAGTTTGTATTTCTGTTTTGTATCATTTCAAATTCTTGAGAGTGGACTCTTTGGCAAATAGATTCTAGATTCTTCGTGTTGTATAGGTAGGAAAAAAGCTTTTCCATATTAAAAGATATGTTTGATTCATACATCAAGTTTATTACCTTGCTAATTCATACTTCAACAAAACATTAATTCAAAAATACTGCATAAACTTATGAATTCGTGCAAAATATACATTTGCCGCCATGGTGGCAAGAAACTATTCGATTTTGATTATGTTGACGCCACATGTTGAAAGGCGTGGGTGCCACGTCACAGTGTTAACAAACAATTTTTTTAGTTTTCTCTTAATTTCAATTTATTTGTTAAGTTTTGCATAAATATTTACAAATATACATATATATTTGAGAGTTGTCTTATCTTTTTGCCATGAGGTTCTTCAGTTTCAGACATGGGGTTCTTCTTCTTCTATCTACGACATGCTCTTCTTCTTTCTTTGTCATTTTGTCAATCACTTCCATCACTTCTTTAATTTGTTCATCTGTTTATAAAACATTCATGTTAGATAAGTAAATTAGCAACCAAAGGATGCTTAAGGCACATAACCAATATAATGAGTAGAGATAGTGTTGTTTACATGTGGGTTTTGGTGAAAGACAGAAATGTTAGTGGGGAAACAAGGGTGATTGCTCGAATATTAATCCAATAGACTTAAACCAAAAGAGCTAGAAGAAGTGTGTGGTAGTATATACACTTCTTCGTGCCATTGTGGTTTAAGTGTTAATACTCGAGCAAATGCCATTTTTCCCCCATTGACCATTCCGACTTTCACCAGAACCCACATGTCTACAAAACTATTTCTTCTTCTTGTGTTGGCTGTGCTTTAAGTATCCTTAGCTAACATAATTTTTTTTTAACAGATTGAACAGAGAAGTGATGGATGTGATTGAGAAGCTTACGAAAGAAAGAATAAGCACATGTAGTAGATGATGCTTTAAAGGAAGAAAGTGAATTAGAGTGATTTGAGTTTTAATGAGTTTTGAGATAATTTTAGTGAATTTTGGTGAATTAGGAAAATTGTTATTAAAATTCTCAGAAATTTCACTTCAAACTATGGTAGTTGAGTATTTGTATTTTAGCTAAAAAATTCTCTGAAATCTCACATAAAATTATTCAAATCACTTCAAATCCACTATTTAAAATGTTTCCAATAACACTTGATTTGATCGTATA